TCACCCCCTACAGGGAATCCTTGCACTACAACCCACACCCCACTGTTACCCCCTGACACTCTATCTACACACCAGCTCTTTCAACCTGATAGCCAGGCTCTGGCTCACTTTGTCAAGGCCCACCTGCAGCCCACCCCTGAGGACTTGCATTTCTTAAGAACTATTATTGCCTCTTGTAAAATCTGTCAAATGTCAGACCCTAACTCCACATACCATAGTCCCCCTTTTCCTACCCACCAGGCCAGAGGCTCCCTCCCTGGGACAGACTGGCAACTTGACTTTACCCACATGCCCACAGTCAGAAGAGGGTCCTCGTGAACACATTCTCAGGCTGGCTAGAGGCATTCCCAGTCACTACCAAAAGGGCTCAGATAGTCTCTGCCATTCCCCAGTTTGGAAACCCCGCCTCCCTCCAGTCAGAAAATGGTCCTGAATTCACCTCCCAGATTTCCCAAACGCTATCTGAAATCCTCAACAATTGGCATTTTCATACCCCATACCATCCCCAGTCCTCAGGAAAGACAGAACGAACTAACCACTCCTTAAAAAAACACCCTTGTTTGTTATCCTTTTATTTAATTGTCGCTGCCTTTTAAGCCACGGCTGTCTGAATCAGCAACTGCAACTCTGCCCTTACCAGTGGCGGTTAGGCCGCAAGGGCCGCTAACCAAAGGGAATTCTGTTCCCTCAGGCTCCAACTCTTGGAAGCTATGAAGGGAACTTATCTAAACCTCTCTCCCTCTAAAGAACTCAAGACTCGAAGGTTAAGGTGGAATTCTGCTCTTCAGAGAGGCTGAAGAGCAAGTAGCTCACCTCCTCTCCTTGCTCACATCCTCCACAAAGCCCTGGTGTGTCTCCTCACCCCTCTTTATAAACTTCTCACCTGGCTCTGCCCTACCACTTCCTGTCAGCTAGTTGCTGCCGCAGTCTCCTGACCGCAGGTGAATTTTATTTAATCAAACACATCTTTGCATCATTAAACAAACACTCCAGGGCATAAACAAAAGTAACACACCTTGAAATAATATTCTGCAACAAGACGGTGATGCTGCTGAGGTGATGAGAAAGGACCAGGTGCTTTAAGGTTTGCTTATGTGAAGATAGGAAATCCTAAGTGGTGATAAGGAGAAAGTGATCTGAGGTGCAGAAAAGAATGAAGCATGTTCCAGACTTCTCTCTCGATATGCTACTGTTGCATTAAGATTCCAACAGTTCATAGCCTTAACATTAATGGATGGAATTTTGATAAGCTATTAATCTAGCTTTGGCAGAGTACAAACCACTATACTAAACTACTATATTATCTCATCCACAGGCTCAGGATTTTAAATCCCCTTTGGTTGCTTTCTAATGACTCAAAGGCATGAGTATATTGCCTTTTCTACAATGTGGATTTCAGTAGAGATTATAAATAGTGGGAATGCCAATGTGTCTAAAACTTATCTTTTAGCAAACTCAAAAAATTCTTCTAAGCTCCAGGGACTCGACTTGGATCTACCTAGAACAGGTCAGATGCCCTCCAGACTCTCACTTTTCGCTCATCTTGGGGCTCTCCTCCCTCCATTACCAGGAGCTAAGAAAAAAAAAGTTTTTCCCCTAAACTTAACTTTTATCTTCTGCCTGCCAGCATCTTGCCAGGTCCAAGTGGTACTTGACGGTTCCAGAGCCTGGACAGCAGTGAAACCACCAGCTTATCCAGGATGCCACCTCAGCACCCCAGCTTTCTCAGGTCCCCCAAAGATGACCAATATCCCCCAGGTCAGCAGGAAGCAGTGTCAAAAACGTGGCGCCCTCATTCCTGCCTCACCCGCTACCCCTAACTCCTCACCTTTTTATAACAAACAAAAGGAATGTTAGCATTCAGACAAGTTACGCTGGCCTGCTCAGGGTCCTGACAGACCACATCAACTACAGCCACTATGTCCCTATGTAGTCCCCATGCACATGCACTACACCCCCTTAAAAAGCAAGCTCCACCCACCCCTCCCTTTCTCCACTGCTTCTCCCCAGAGGACTGTCTCTGGGCCCTTTCTTTCCCTCCCCCAATAAACCTCCCAAGTGAGTTCTGTTGCATGGTGTGACTTCTCTCTCCCACCGTTAATTACAACACTTTCCCTGCCATAAAAGCTGAGAGTCCCTCTCAGAAGAGCGGAGTTGTGGTGCAAATAAGATGCTCCGTGAGGCTGAGTTGCAAAGACTCTGGAGACCAGACCAGCTGTCCGCAAGAAGCCAGCGGAGCTGCCTGGCAGAGGTGTAGACCAACTGAGGCACCTGGAAAGGACACTCTCCAACCTGTTGAGCTACCTGCAGGCTGTGCAGTGTGCTCCAGATTCCCAGCTTTGTGAGCTGTCACCTATGCTGGGTGGGCTTCGGTGATGCAGCTGTGTTTGAGACATGACTGCTCCTCTAAGTAAGCCCTCATCCACATTCCTGTAAGTAACCCCAATAAAGCTCATTGGTAAACCAAGCTGAACTTTGGTGGTATTTGTACTCTGGTCTGTAGTGAGCTTCCTATCTGGGATGAGTAGATGAATGTGATGTGTCTCCCCAGGTAATGTTTTGTCACAATAGCCCCCGAGTGTCTAAACATGAATCTGACTTGTTCTGTAAAAACGTCAGATAATGATGCCTTCTTGGGAATCTGTTCTAGGCCAAGAATCTGATCATCTCTGACATACTTAGGTACCTGAGTGCCTTTTAAGTTTAGAGGGATTTCACCTACATTCTCTCCCACTTTATCCTCACAACTCTAAGTAAATAGGTGTCATAAAAGGTAAAAATAAGTTTAGAAAGCATCTTTTACTTTTACTTATGAGTAGATCCTCCAGAAATTCACAATTCAGAATCCATTTATGGGGTCAACTAAAACTGTTTAAGGACATGCCAATCTCAAGAGGATAAGACAGGAAGTAGAAATGACCTAGGTAGTCGGACTCACCAGCACAACTCAACAGCCTTCTTCTTTTACAAGAATTTATAATGGATTGCACTAATGAATAGGTTATGCAAGGGTGCTTGTTCAATGGCTCTTCATTGGAAGAACATTATCTTATTTGCATATATGATAATCACCCTTAACTGGACCCTCCACAGGCAACAGACAAAATGAAATTTGGTATTCATGTTGGTGAATCGTAAATCTTATTAATCTTATCAATAAAAACCAGGAGTCAAACATTGGGGTAAGAACCTGGAAGATCAGAGAACAGGGAGCAGCCACGGTCGCTTCCTACCTCTTCCGTTCCTCAGTCCAAAAGGCCAAGATCCTCTCTCCACCCTGCCTTACTACTTCCTGTCATTCTCTGTCTCCAGACCTCTGTGGTTAATCCTGGTCAGCTAGTGGCTGCTTCCCTGCTTCTCTGACTCCAAGCAAGCTTTATTTGTCAGAACCCAATCAAAATGTCATGCAACATGTTGGAATCCATCCTTTGGTATAGCTTCACTCCTCTAGTGAAGTAACTGAGAGTCAACATGCACTCTGCTTTTGCCTCCATTATCACAGACCTCCTTTTTAACACACACACACACACTATATTGCTTTATGTAAATTCTGACTTTCTAGAAGTCTCATTACCTTTTGTTACCACACCCCATACCCCTGCCACCTAGCTAAACCATTGGTATAATGGGGTCCTATCTTTACCATGTCTTTTTACTTATTTATGTGTTATGATTCACTGCTGCATTCTGGACTTAGTCTGACTATACTGGGAACAAAGCACTACAAAAAAAACCTCCCAGGATTCTGTAGACTCCCAGTTTGCAAAGGGCTTGGTATTTCAAAGGTCAGTCTTGGGTCTCTCCGTTTTGATGACTAATGTTAAATTGTTTGACTTTCTACAAAAATATTTGGCTGTGCTTATTTACATAATTTCATCCCCTGGGCACACAGTAGGCACATATTTGTTGTACCGAATCCCTACAGGAATGAGAAGACAGGATGAAGATGCCAAGATCATGATTCTCCTAATCACAAAGAGTGGAGTGAGAATGGTAAAATCATCACCTAATTTGTAGAAGGGTCTCTGTGCATTCCCTTTTAACTGTGAGCTATGCATCTGTTTAAAATAAGAAAAGGATGAAAGGCACAGTGAGGAAATCCCGGCACCCCTGAGAAAACACCATTATCCTCACCACAGACGCATGTACACACTTTCTTTTAATGCTAGTTACTTCATAGGAGAGCTGGTTAAGAATGCCTCCCCACCCACTTGCACAACTCTTCCAGGGAAAACAGAGGCTTTAGAATCTAAGGAGTATCACATCGTAGACCCTTGGGAGAGGCAGTCGAAGTTAGACCATACCACAGATACTAAATGATACAATCAGATAACGGTTTTAAGAATGCTTTCCCCTCCCATCCTTTCCTCCGACTCTCCCTCCCTTTCTCTTTTTAGACAGGGTCTTTGGTAACTCAGGCTGGCCTTGAACTCTGGATCTTCCCCGCTCAGTGTTCCCAGCACCCAGCCTTACAAGTTTTTTCAAACAATGTTTAACACTAGGAGTCAGCATTGAAACTTCTTAGATCATCAGAAGTCCTTATTCTGCCTCTTTAAATTAAAAAAAAAAAAAAGCCACCACTATGGATGTGATTGGCAAACACCTTCTTACACATTTCTGCATTTTCTTAAACTTTATTTGTATTAGGCTCCACCCTTAAAGTTTCCTTCTAATTACCACAAGCTGGATACCTCTCTCATTCTCAGACTTAGCCCCCCAGACTGGAAAAGTGAGTAAGTGCTTGAGGGACGTTTCTGGGTTGTCTGGTTTTGTCCCTAAAAGATACCCAATTCACCCCACCCACGACCTCTTAGGGCAAGCAACAGAGCGAACGCATTCAGAGTTGTGTGCTGCAGACACCACAGGTCTCCTTTCCTGCCCTGTCAAGGTCACCGGTTCCATAGGCAAAGCTCGATTCTGACTCTAGGTGGGTCACCAGCCGCCCCTGCCCCTTTCCCGGCACCTTCCTGGACCCCCGACTGCCAGGGCTCCCCGCTCACCTGACCACGTTGGGGTGCTCGAAGGTCTCCAGGTGCCTCAGCACCGCCACCTCGCGGATGGTGGAGAGCGGCATGCCCTCCTCGCTGGTCTGCACTCGCACGCGCTTCAGAGCCACGAAGCGGCCGCCGTTCTTCAGGTCGCGGGCCTTGAACACCTTCCCGTAGGCGCCCTCGCCGATCTCGGCCACGCACTCATACTGCTGGTCGGCGCGGCTCAGGCTGTCCTTCTCCATGCTGACTGGACGCTGCCGGCGCGGCACGGAGGGTCCGGAGTGTGCGCTCGCTGCCTGGACGCCGCCGGGACGCCCGGAGTCGGAGTCGCGGCCGCCGGGCTGGGCAGAGCGACCTCCTCGCCCGCGGGCGAAAAGCCGGGCGCAGCCGCCGCGAAACTCCGCCTAGCCGAGTCGCTGCGCCGCCGCCGCCGCCGCTGGAGAGCGCCGATCCCTCCTCTTCCCCCTCCGCAGCGATTACATAGTCTGCCCACAATCTCTGCACCTAGGAGGAGGAGACGGGAGGACAAGGAGAAAGTGCGATCAGACAGCCCCGGAGACTTCCACCGGCTTCCACCGGCTCCCCTCCTCCTCCCCTCTCCTCGCCCCGGCCCTCCACCCGGCTGCCTAATCTTGCCCGGTTTCTCGGAGAAAAGCCAAGTTACTTTTTCTTGCCCAGCAGGGCTCGTGCAGTCTTCGCGAGGAGAGGTTGCAGGGGCCCCTCGGGGATGAGCGCCGCGCGGGACGCAGCGGGACGGGAGGGGGCGTGCCGAGCAGCCCAGAGTGTGCCGGGAGCGCGGGGGAGGGGAGGCGCCGGGCGCGTCAATGTCACGGCTCAATATTTACACCTATACGGTTGTTCTCGGCTGCCCTCCCCGACTCCGGGGGCCTGGACGTGCGGGGGACGGGGCGTCTTGGGGGCGTTCGGAAGCGGGTGTGAGGGCGCCGGGGGCTTCACCCGTGTGGGGCCCGCAGAATGGGGTTGGGGCTCTCGGGACCCTGTAACCCGATGCTGGGAGTACGCGAGTAGGGGTGGTCAGACATCTGCTCGGAAATTGCTTCCTTTCTTTCTACTTTCAGTTTTTCTACCGAGAGACATTTAAAAGGGACTCGCACATGCAAACGGTCTTTGGGGTATGGCCATCTTAGTGGGAGATAGAACTCTGCCTCCGACTCGGAGGACCTCCCTGGTGGAAACTCAGGGAGGACAGACCATCTGGTAGGGGAGGGCTGGGGCTACTAGGGGTGGGAGAGCGAGGGGCCCTGGAAGGGGAGGAGTGTCGTGCCCCCCACCCCCGCCCCGAGATCACAAGGGTGTTGGGAAGGGAGGTCCGTCACACTTTCGCTCGTCCTGAAAGCGTAACTTCGGGGACTTTGCTAACCGGGACTGGTCCTTAAGTTTTCAGCTGACTTCAACCCGTGCAACCGGGTTGAAGCAATCGCCCTTACGACGGTGGGGGTGGGGGAATTAACGTAGGACTCCCGGGTGCGAAGCGGGGCTGCCCTTGGGTTGCGACTGCAGAACCTCCGCTCCGGTGTCCTGAGCGCCTGGAGGTCGGTAGCTGAGAAGGTCGCTCGGCTCCCAGGCGGCTGGAGGCCGGGTCCCACGCGCGGTCGGGCGTCCCCCTCCCCGCTCAGTTATTAGGGATGACCGAGCGAGCCTTCCCGTCCCACGGCGGCCTCAGCCTAGGCTGGACCTTGGCCCACGGCAGCCGCGTGTCCGGAACCCTCGGCGTGCGTTTACCTGCCCCGCACCCCTCCTCCCCCGCTCGCCCTTCTGCCTGGAATTAGCGAACACATGGCGCGACCCCCACTGGGTGCCGGCCTAGCATTGCGCGGCCAAGGCAGAGACTCTCTCGGCTCCCTTGAGAGCCTTCCTGAAAAGCTGCGGAAAGGACCCCCAGACCTCGCCCGGGGGTCCGCGCCAGGTCGAGGGCCACACAGGTAGCGGGAGCCGCGGCCTCGGCGCCCGCCCTCCCCCTCCGGCCGCGTCCAGCCCAGGCTCCCGGAGGCGGCAGCCGTCCCACCCCCGCGGGCCTGCACCCCCCGGACCGGAGCGGCGGTGCCTAGCCCCATCCCCTCCTCCACTTTTTTGTTGTTGTTGTTGCTTTCCCACGCTGGCTGAATGTGACTTGACCCCATTTCAAAAAAGTTTGACATAGTGCTTCAACATTTCCGCATTCCTCCGCGACTACAAAGGCTGCAGCCGCCTCCTTCTGCTTTCTGTCTCTGCTCTCTGTCTTCACACTCAATGAAATCCTTCATGAGCCTCTGCCGAAGCCTTGCCAAACGCCGCAAGGGTCGCCACCAGCGCAGCGAGGGGAGGCCGCCCGCGGGACCGCGACTCGCGCGTGTGCGCATACGCAGATGCGCCCGCGCAGATACGCCCACGTGCACAGGGACGAGTGCGCCGCGGAGCCCCCGGCTGCTCTTGGCCAGGGCGTGCATTTGAACTGCAAAGCTTTAAATAAGAAAAGTAAACTTGGGCCAGGAAGCAAGCGTGCGTGCTCGCGGGGGCTTCAACCCCGGTGGGCTGCGTGCACTCCTCCGTGCATAACACGCCCGCGGGGTCGCCAGCAGGAAGCCTGCGTGAACGTTCATTCCTTAGTGGGGAAGACGGGGCCCGTACCCACACCTCGGGAGGCTGCAGAGGGAACTTGCCCAGGGGAAATAAACGTGGGGCGCGGAAACACACTCTCAATCCCACCCAGACGGTGGCATTTTCAACCTTCAATGTGACTGTCCAAGTAGAGTCCGTTTGGAGAAGTTCCATGAGAATTGAACGTATGGGTGTTTGTACGCACGAATCTATTCAAGCTGGCACAGGACCCTGGTTGTGGGGGTGTCCCCGGTGTGGGAGGTCCCTCTCGAGACCTCTAGCTCCCCCAGCTGACCCCCATAACCTACCCAGTCTCAGCTGGTAAGGGGTTAATCCAAGCGGATTCCGAGGGGCCACACAGTCCCCCACCCTCCTTACCCTCACCCACCCACGTCCTCGCCGGGGACCCCAGCCCCTCAGCCCACCCACGCGAGCCCGTGGCTCCTCACCTGCGGGCCAGGGGCGCCGGCCTCTTGCGAAGCTGGAGTGTCTGTCTGTCGGTCTGTCGGCTCCCGCACGTGCTCGCCGCGCGGAGCAGGTAACTGACTGCGGCCCCAGCGAGCAGCGCTCTGCGGGCAGGGGGTGGGCACTGCGGCGGCGGAGGGCGGAGGGACGGCGGAGGGCGCCGCCCGCGGGGAGGCTGGGGAGGCTGGGGAGGCTCGGGGCTCTGGCCGCGGCTGGGGGCCCGAGGCCAGGAGGCTGCGCGGCGGGGCGGGGACCTGCGAGCCTCGGGGGCCCCAGACCCACCCGGAGGCGAGTGTGCAAATTAAAGCCTTCCGGAGCAAGAGAGCGAGGCCCAGCCCGGGCTGTGCTCCCCAGCGATCGGCTCGGAACCGGGGGCCCGCAGGGCGGGGGAGAGTTAAAGGAAAATTTCCGGTTCTCACTGCAACTACTGGAGTTGGGGCGGGGGGGGAGGATTCTCGCGACTGAAAAAAGCTGCGTGAAAGGGACCGGGTGGGATGCGTCGTCGGGAGTCGGCAGGGTTTCTACACCCGAGGTCCCCCAGAGTTGGGGTTTTGACAGGGTGAGGCGGGGGTTATCAGTCGGGTGAGAACGGATGAGAAAAACACAAAACAACAGTAATTATGAGGGGACCGTGGGGCGGTAGACAGCAACACTTTCCTACACGCAAAAATCGGGAGAAGCTTGGCAGGATGCCGTACAGAAAAGAAAATACTAATCGGTCCAAGCACTTTTCACTTTCAGCATGAGCTACATTTGTTTTGTTTTCTTTCACTTCCTTTCGGCCTCAAAAAGCCCTATCTATCTTTTCCTTTTGGACAGACGCTATGGTTTGGAAATTGCCAGGCACTCTTGTGGTTAACGATCTACTTGAAGGGGCTGGCGGGGTCACAATTATTAAGTGGTTAGAAACTGTTGAGGGTTCACTAAGGTATTTCTGGGGAGCTAAAAAGATTCAATTTCAGTATAAATAACAACTGTAAAATAATAGACACACTCACACAAAAAGATGAGTGCTTAATTTAAATGCTTTATTGGGATTTTGAAATTTGAAACTTTGTAAGAATGTCTCCTTTACCTGAGAAAAATTGGATGCAATTACTTCAGGTGAAAATGAGATTTTTGGAAGGTGGGGGGGAGAAAGGTTTTCAAGACTTTCTACAAAGAGTAAAAAGAAAAAAAATAGCTGTCTTTGGAAATAATTCGATGTTTTCCAAATTCTGTATCTGTAGAAGACTTGAAACTTTTAAAAAATTTAAGGCAAGAGAAAGTACAGGAGGGGGAATTTCTGTAATTTGTAGAAATATCAATACCAACAAAATTCTGTTTAAATTGTAAATATTACTTGTATGGATGTTTTGCTTTATACTAGACCATGTTACTAATTTCACAATAGATTTTTTTGCCTTTATAAAATTAATTCTGTTACAGTGTGAAGCAAGGCTACAGAAATAAAAGTTACTGTAGAAAACTGCAAACAGTTTGCAGATGCATTGTAATAATTTTTCTTAAATAATAAAAATGAGTAGTGATGTGCCTTTAAACTTAACTTAGAAAACACATTTTTGTGTTTGAGTACATCTTATAAAATAAAACCCAGTTTCTGAGCAAATTTTGTTTATAATTTTCAACATATCATATACTCAAAGTAAATTATTATATCTTATATTTATAAAAGTGTTGAATTACTCCCAATCACTGGGCTCTGAGCTGGAGATACAGATGGAACCTCTCCATTTTAATGACTGCTCACACTTCTCAGTGCTTTTTAAAACAAGATTTATTTGCTGGTAGTTAATATGCTTATCCAAAAATAATAGTCAATAATTAGCTGCAGGAACAAGCACATGGTGTCATGAATATATTTAAGTAAATAATTTGTTAAAAAAAATAGTAAGTGGTAAGTGTCTTTTTGCAGAAAAGTGTTTATTTCTAGAATGGGTAGTATTTTTAATTATGACATTTGAAAACAACTCTTACTAACTAGATTAGAAATGTCATGATTTAGGTAACAAAATCACTTGGGCAATGTAAAAACAAACCCCCAAACCAATGGAACTCTTAACTATACCAGGTTTTAACTCATTTGGAGTCCTCTCTTTTGTCTTTCCTGCTATAACTTATGTTTTGTGTTAATTTAGCATTATCCACTTTTCCTGGTTATGGTTCACATTAAGTACCAGCTGATTAGAAATTAAGATCCAAAGGAAAGTTACAATGGCTTGCATGGAAATAGCAAAATATACAGTTGTTTTTGTTCGTGGGTAACTTCCTCTGTGGGTAGCAGGCT